AAGACAAGTACAAGACAGGACAAGACAAAGCCATGTTTGTCTTTGAACCAATGAAACTTGGTCAACGCCAGGCCTGACTTGTAGGATAAACACAATTATAGAAAAAACAGCGACGAACAAGATTGCACGGCACAATTAAAGATTAAGACGAACAAGAAAGAAAGCGTGAACAAGTTGCTGAAGAAGCTGCAGCTTGTCAACAAACAGACACGAGATTTTTATAACATTGCCATGTGAACATCAGTAGAGAAGCAAAAATCTTTTACCTCAACTTTGTTCAAACCTTAGTTCGTATTGTTTCCTCCCAAGTATTTACAACGAGCTTCAATCTTCTCAAACATACAGTTATGCAAATCAAATCCAATTTTTCGTTTCCAATGTGGACAAAAACAACAATCCCTGAAAGAAAATAAAAATTCAACAAGATTGTAAAGAACCTGAAATAACGCCCAAAAGTTGTAGGGAAAAAGTCCAACCAAAACGAAATATGATTGGAAACTTTCCAATATGGTGGGACAGTTTCCCGTTTCGTTTACGCTACTATATCCACTTTACTTGATAGCTGTCCGTAGTGGCGCGAAAAGGAACCTATCTGATATGGAATGTACAACTTTCAGAAGCAGAGTGAAACAACATCTCTCCATTACAATATTTCATCTGACAATAGCGTTCCTAAATGCTACAGATACAGTAGGTGTTTTTTCACGTCGCTATGGAAACCTATCTGGTACAGTGTAAATGTAGCCTTGGTCTCCAGGCCTCCACTTCGTCAATCACATCGATAAATAATAATTCATACAGTGAAGTAAAAATGCTAAGAAATTTAACAATAGGAGGTTGGACGCAGCTTATGGTTAAAGCATTCTTTCAAGAAAACTGATTGTTAATATCAGCCAAAATATCCAAACAATTTATAGCATTTGGTCGGAAAATGTTCAGTGTGTGACCTTAAATTCAGCCTCTGGTTGCTTCCACCGATTTTCAAAATTACAAGAAGACCAAAACGAGCAAGCTTTTACTATAAATGTACAGGTATTGTAGTGGGGGGAGGGGCGATTAGGTTGCCAAGACACATATGTACGTGACCATCATTTGTAGTTGGAAATCTTAGTTCTTGAAACTTGTTTGCGTTAAATTACGTGAAATATAGTGCCATTTGTAGCCTACCAATGGCTTAAAATTATTATTACGGCTTTGTTACACACTTAGTCATCTATCATTCAAATGCTTTCAGGCTGTTTTCATATTTTTCTGGTGATTGTATTATCTACAGAAGTTCGCAGTTACTGTAGTATATACACCTTCGTCCCGACGAGGTTGAGTTATCTATTACACTAGTGCTAAATAACTAAAGGAAGCCAGTTATAACGTACCCATGTATGAATTTCAATTCGTATTAAGTGCAATGACAACAGACATAGCTATACACAATGTTTCTAGACAATGCCAATCTAACATTCATGTCTTTTTATCAGCCTAGGGAGAAAAAACAACTTTTAACATGACAATGTTTTCTGATAAGTTTTGATGATCCTTAAAGCAACGGATACATGGGCAATATTTTCTGGTGAAAATGCAATGGTGCTAAAAGTGTTCAGATAAATCAACTCTGACTGCTTGTGTTTGGTCTGTGAAAAAGGCAGATATCCAACCCAATAGCACAAATGGAATATCCAATTGTTTTAATTCACAAATTAAGATATTGTGATCTAATAAGTCAATAATATTGTAATAGTAATAATAATAACTAAAAATTGCAGCGTGGCTGCAATTTTTTGTTATTGTGGTGTTCTATTCGTTGAACTTTTTACTTTCAGATGCACATTTCCATCATAAAATTAGTAAAAGCACACACATGGTATGAACCGTATGATCACTACGATGTATAATGAAAAACACAATACAGCAGTGTTTAACTATAACTCTAAACTAGCATGTGGAGCTCGAGCAATAAAGCGATTGCTTTTTTTAAAACAGCGGTTTCAAATTATCCTCCTTGATACTTCATGTGAGAATGTGAGAATCATCAACATGGTTACAAAAACATGGCGCATTTGTCCATACTTCAATTCAGCCACATTCAACATGTTTTCGATTGGGGAAAATATAAAAACATACACCATATGTAAAGTAAACAGCAGATGACAACAATTCGAAGTATTCAAGAAATATTACAAAACATGTAAATTGCTATTTAAAGAAAATATGCGGCCGCCTGGCTAACACCCTGAAACTAGGCATCATTGCCAACAGTTACTATATCCGCCAGGGATGAATTTCCTGGGGGGGGGGGCGGATGATGAATGAAATACAGTAATTTGAATACTAACATGTTGATAAGCGAACTGTGAACAACAATTATAATTCAAATACAATAGTGAAGCAAGACTAGCAATCAGTGCCTTGCTGCAGTGTCTACAAGGCTACAACTAGGTGAACTAGCTACTCAGTAACTCAGTTGTACACTTGCACCGCATGGAGGCTGTTTTGCCAAATTGCCAGAATACAGACCCCCCCCCCCTCTCCTTACTAGACCATGCTGGTCCATCCCTGATTCCCTGATATCCGCCACTCAGTGACGTGATTGTGTCTTCATTAATTGTCTATTACTCAAGTGCTAAATAATTAAAGTAAACCAGTTATAACATACCCATGCATGAATTTGAATTTGTTTTGAGTGTAATGACAACAGACATAGCTACAGTATACATGTTTCTAGACAATGCCAATCCAACATTCATGTCTTTTTATCAGCCTAGGGAGAAGAAACAACTTTTAATATGGCAATGTTTTCTGATGAGTTTTGATATTCTTTAAAGGGACGGATACATCATACTTGGGCAATATTTTCTACTGAAAATGCAATGGTGGTAAAATTGATGCATTGCGATATACTATACAAGATGGCAAAATTAAATATGCTTTCAAGAAATGCAACAATTGTATTCAACAATGTATACTTTCAGTTGGTGATATTTACAAAAGTTTAAGACTTCAAGCTTGGGCATGGTTTTGCAAATTGACTGATTACGTTTGTCAGTTGATCAGGGACTTCCGTCGCGCAATCAGCTTTGGTAGCACAGTCATCAGAACAACCACCTTTCACCTCTGAGATTGTGGGTTCAATTCTCGCAATTGACTGATGTGAAAAGAGTCAGTCAACGCTCTCCCGATTGAAAGTCGTGGGTTTTCTCCGCGTGCTGCAGTTTCCTCCCACAGGGAAAGTTGACAGGGTGGGTTAGGATAAACATAGTTAGGAAAATAATATTACAACTGTTGTAAAGATAATTAGTCCAGGCTTAGTAGACAAGTAAGCGTAATACTTGATGAACAATCCGTCACTTGAGCTGAATAATAAATATATGTATGTGTGTATGATCAGCAATATCAAAACCTCTTCTGGGTAAGTGCTACTAAATATTCGAGCACAAACTGCACAGTTACTACCAATAATGCAAATTAGGCATCATTACCTACAGTTACTATATCCACCAGGGTATGATTTACCGGGGGGATGCTACAGTAATTTGGGTACTAACATGATGATAAGCAAACTGTGAACAACAATTACAATTCAAATACAGCAGTCAAGCAAGACTAGTGACTAGTGCCTTGCTGCAGTGTCTGGTTATTGTCTATTACACCAGTGCTAAATTAAGGAAGCAAGTTAATAACATACCCATGCATGAATTTCAATACACAATGTCTCTAGACAACGCCAATCCACCATTCATGTCCTTTCATCTTGTATTCATTGTGCTTTTAGACTAAACAAGCCTAGGGAGAATAAACAACTTTGAATGACAATATTTCTGGTGACAATGTAATGGTGCGCAAAAACATCCAAACCAGCCCCGTTCACATGCCTAAAACTATTCGACTTTTATTGTAATACTGAAACCACTTTTGAAAAAAAAAACACAAAAAAACTTGGAAGTTTCGCGCGAAAGCGCGTTGTCGGGAAGCTTATAGCGGACACTGGCACAAACTGTTCGAGATTATATTACAGAACACTATGAAAAGTATACAACATTCAATCGGCGGATACGTCCCCTGTCTATTTCAATCAAACATTCAAGCCATGTTGTTTGCACTATATCTCGTCAAGTTGGCTGTTTTCATCCTCACATTGCCACAGGGGGGTCCAATAAGAGTTATGATTGAAATTATATTGTATTTATTTTTAAAAACATACTTCTTGAATCCCTTGATCGTCGATTATAACCTTTTAAACGGCTCGGAGTCATTATACTATCACTCTACATGACGTTTCACGAAGCGCGGATGACCGCGGACATGTAAGGAAGGCGGGCGCGATAAAAGCATGACATACACACCAAAATAATACAGGGTGTAGAAACACCTTTAGAAATCAAGCTATTGCTTTTATACACAACATTTTATGCCCTTGGGAATTTAAAATAGCTTCTGATCGTATGAAGGAGCATAACTGCATAAAACGTTGTCCAACAAATTAAAGTTTCAAATTTTGTCATGCACGTATAATAAATCACTTCTGTCCTGTTTTATAGTGTTATGTATTCAAATTTCAACAATAACTTGATTTTATACCCTGTAGAAGAACGCGTAAAGAATTCTGACAAACGAGTTTTTCAGGAGACGTGACAGGTTGAACACTGGACAAAAATGCGATCAACGAAAGAAAAGAATTCCCCGCCAATTTATACATTCCATAATTACAATCTTGTAGAGACATTGAGACAATAGTGCACTGCGAGTTGTTTTTCAAGACATGTATGTAAAAATATAGCGTCTTTAATTTTATTGCTGAAGAAAACTGACAGTTTGCACTTTGCAGTCGAAATTTCAATTTCATCAACTTTTTAATAATCTTTATTACTAACTTTTTAATCTCAGTATCGTATCACGTTTACAGCTGTCTTGGTAGCACATTAGAGTGATGGTCATTTGAGAAGCGCATGCAGACATTGCGTTTGCCACAGCTAGAAATATGAATAACAAATCACTCATGTTTTCGTTCGCTACACTGGTTTTTATAAATGAATACAAAGCCCATTCGATTACATTCACGATACGACGTTTCTAGTGTCTTCATCATTATTTAATATACTATTGATATAAAAAATATATCGGCTGATATACTGACTGTTTAAAATATACAAATACTATCAAAATTATATCAGATAGGTTTAGTGAAAATTGACGACTTTGTAAAAATTGAGCTAGGTGTAAGTCGCGCAAGTGAAAGCTTGGTAAAGTAACTGATATAGCAAATGGATATTTAATAAAATGATTACGACACACAATAGAAGTTATTGAATGTGTTATTTTGAATTACCTTCCCCACTTCATTCTTGGACAAATGCAAAATATGTAAGCATTCACCTTGCGCGTTCACGTCATGACTAATTCACTTGTCTGAGATGTCTCATCTTTCAAGTTACAATATTCATTTGTGTATTGAATACCTCGTAGGCGCTTCATTTCAAACAATCCTTCATAAAGTGTGAGGATGGCTTTCTTGTTTTCTCTGTAGTTTGTTATATTTTGCTCAATTTAATATTGTTCTGCCCGAGCTTGAAATCCTTGCGCGTCTGTGTGCGTGGGGTATTTTTAACAATCAATCACTGGCAAACATCCAATTGTATTGTGCGCCAATCAAATCACTTGTAGTGGTCGTGAATCTAATCACGTGTATTGTGCGCCAATCAAACCTTTTGTTGTAGAGAGTCGAACTTATATTCTGAGGTTGAACTTATATTCTGACAGTTGAACTTATATTCTGAGGTAAAAGGCCTAAATGTTGTAAAAGGAAGTTGAGAATGTTAAAGGCTTGTGTAGAAGTCTCCCCATTATATCGGAGACATGTTTCACGACTACCAAAGGAAATCCCCTATAACCATTTACAAACTAGCATTAATGTATATAGGTATTCTTTTTATCCAAGAACTATTATTGCGTGGAACAATATCCCACTGACAATGTCAATGAGTAATCTTAGTAGTTTTTCTGTTTTTAAGGAGAAAGCAATTGCTTTCGTGAGATCGTAATTTATATCTTTTTACTATAGTAAGCACATTCTGTATATTACCGTATTATTGTAAATAGTTAGCTATATTTCTATATCCCCTGGTATAGTGTAAACTGTTTGAGGAGTACTTGATTAAGAGGAGATTTTTTTGTATGTTACGTAACATGCGCTCAGAACTAATGGTAATGCGTATAATATATCGCTTGAGGTTATGACTAAATTCAAAATTATATTATTCAAATATTTTTCGTTACGTTTCTCGTCGGTAAACAAACTTAAAAAGTATGTTTAGTGCTTTATCTGTAAAATAATGCCAAAATGAAGAGATTTTAGATGATACGCCAAAGAGAAAATGATGTCTGAAATTCAGTAAGTTTTGCTTATATGGCTATAAATATGGCGTCAATTTTAAAGCATCATTGATATTTGTACCTTAATTGACAATTTTTAACTATTATTTTATGTTTCTCAACCGGCAGATGCATTTAAAAAGGTAGCCACCTCTCTAAACTAGAGAATAAAGCTAAAACAAAGTAATTTTGAGAGGAACGCCAAAAAGATTTTAGGTTTTGAACACTTTTCATTGCAAATACGTGACATTGAAAAAAATTGCCTCTTAAAGATTAAAAATTTTTAGGTAGTGATATGAAGCTGTGGATTGACACAACTACATGAAAAACACAAGGAGAACATCGTGATTTCTCGAAACTCGCTCGAAACGTTCTCCTTGTATTTTTCAAGTAGTTGCATCCCTTTCAATCTGAAGCTTCGAACTTGCGCTTTCAAAAATAATTTCACGCGAATGAACACCATGTCCGCCTAGTACACATGTCTCCCAAATTGTGGCAATTGATACACCAGGCGCAAATCTTAGTTTAAAGATAAAGAGCAGAGCCCAGCAAATAACTTTAAAATCAAACATATTATAAAAGTAAAAAAATATTAGCTAACGTTTCGTATTTTTACTTTTAATTTGTTTGGTTTTAAAGTTATTTCTTGTTATGTCATGACTGTATCAGACTTGTTACATGTAGTTAGAACAACCTTGTGACAAGTCTGATAATCGCATAAAGCTTGTTAGAAGTTTTTTTCTGTGTTGGTGTAATGTACCATAGATATCTTATATACGCTAGATAATGCATCTAATTATTCTGCAATTCAAAAATTGAAGCCGTGATTGCAGTCTCAGGTCGTTCCCATGAAATGAGAAGATTCGTATGTTTTCTATTTCTTTAAACAGGGAACTTAAACATTAAGTTAAACCCATTCCAAATACATTTTTAAACTATTCAAATGATGAAAGTTATTGTTGTTTTTAAGCGTTTATTAGCAAGTGGGAACGACCAATATGGCCGCCATCTATTCAAATGGGGGTAACCGCTGCAATATTCTTGGCTTCAATTTTACTAAAAGAGATGCGCTATCTAGTGTATATAAGATATCTATGGCTGAGTGTATATGCAGTTAGCAGAGCATTGGACAAGTTGCGGGTTCGATTCCCACTATGGTCAGGCTAACTTTTCAGCCTGCCCGGTATGGATATACACTCAGAGTAACATACAAAACATCAAATTATAGTAAATTTATACAAGTTCTTTTTTCAGCCACTGTTATACAACTAGGTGTAGTTCTGATTGCACAGCAATGTGTTGTAGCAAATTTAAGTTCTCCTGAAGACCTGAAGCTGTAATTTTTCAACTCTTTCCACATGACAAGCAATATTATCTGACAAACCGTTTGTTCAAAGTCCATAGATTTCTTTATAATGCACATTAAACACTGTTCCAAACCATAGTTAATATAGAAGACCGGGTTTGGAAGGCCGGCAAACTTCAAAGCAACACGTGATCAAATGGGATACCATGTTACAAAGTACGTGACAGCTTATAGTGCATTCTAGCTGCAATTCATAGTAGAAACTTATAGAAAATAGAGGTATCTTTGTCTAAAATCACCATTTTCTCGTCTCATACGAGGTCTATGGAGCCATGCGGCATTGAATACATGGAGATGAACGAAGAGAGTTCTTTCCCATTTTATGAAGGCAATGGAGCCTATAGTTCGGGTTTTGAAGACGATTTTGATCAAACTCTTGCTAATGCTTGATATGGACTTCGAGGTGGTGATGATCGAGGTTCAAAATTCTCATGAAGAGGTGAGTT